ACTTACATGTGCTTAATAAATGTGAGGAAATGTGTGTTAGAATGAAGGTAAATAAAATGGCAGTTTATACATGACCCTTTTTCAGCTTCATCAGAATACACGTTACAAAACGTTTAGCTAAATGTAGCAGAATGTGGCTAAAAGACAAACGTTTTCAAATGGCGGCAAAAAGCTGAAAGAAAATAAAAAAGAGCAAGTGTTCCGAAGCAGATTTCACAGAGAGCAGCATTTTAAAGAAGTGCTTTTGTTTCCCTTCCAAACTATTTAGTTCAACTCTTAAATGTTTTTTTGTTTTCTGTATTGTTTCTCAAGCCGAGCTGCTTTACAAGCGGGGCCACAACCCACCGTTAATTGTGAAATAGTAAAAGTGAACTAAATCCTGTATTTTGATGAGTTTAATGAACTGAAGGTTAGGGAGTCTGAGTGGGAATTGGATGACCCGGGTCCTGTTGGCAGCGAAAGCTTCAGCTGACTGGAAGTGATGCAAGCTGCCTGGACAAACATGTCAATCATTAACGAGAGAAAAATGATGCGTGATCATGTTTCAAGTATCTGCTTTTAAAATAAATGACWCTTTATGTAGCTGATTGTAAAAGCATTTATAAAACTTTTGTTTAAATGTAACAAAATCCCCTGCGGATAAACACTAAAAACAACTTAGAAATGTTTAAATTGAACTTATGAGGAAAATGTTTATTCAATAAACAGTTTGTCAGATCAGATAAGGCATGGGCCACTAACACAATCTGCATAAAGGTCACAGTTTTTTATGCAAAGCACCATTTGTAACATAAACTGTTAAAGGACATTTGAAGGAAACGTGGATTCGTTCTTTCAGCAGTGAAATCCTGCTTCAGTTCCAAGATGTCAAAGAAAACTTCACAGATTGATGTCACTGCTCAAATTCTTTAATCTTTKTAGCCTAAAGCACGTACTGGTACCAAACCTCTCAGTGAACGATTGACAAACAAGTGGACCTTCAAGTCTGAAGACAGTTTGCAGAAGGGAAACTATAGGCCAAAAAGTCAAACGTCTGATTGAAACAGAAAGTCTGCAGCGACGTCGGCAGGTGTTTTACAAATGTCTGACACGAACTTGGTTGTGAAGAAGCTACGGCTGAGCAACACTAACAAACAATAGCTGTGTTTCCATCGTTTTTATGTTCATTTTAAAGTATCACAGCAGAAAAAGTTGATGGAAATGACAAAGTTTGAAA